CTTGGTGCACTAGATACACTCAGTGCACCAAGTGCACTTGGTACGCTAGATACACTCAGTGCACTCAGTACACTTGGTATGCTAGATACACTCGGTGCACTTGGTACGCTTGGTACACTAGATACACTCAGTGCACTTGGTACACTTGGTATGCTAGATACACTCGGTGCACTTGGTACGCTTGGTACACTAGATACACTCAGTGCACTCAGTACACTTGGTACGCTAGATACACTCGGTGCACTTGGTACGCTTGGTACACTAGATACACTCGGTGCACTTGGTACGCTTGGTACACTAGATACACTCGGTGCACTTGGTACACTTGGTATGCTAGATAAACTCGGTGCACTTGGTAGACTCAGTACACCAGATACACTGGGTGCACTCTTTACATTCGGTACGCTTAGTGCACTCAGTACACTCGGTAAACTTGGTACGCTCAGTACACTCGGTACACTTGGTGTGCTAGATACACTCGGTGCACTCGGTACGCTAGATATCCTTGGTGCATTTGGTACACTTGGTACGCTTGGTACACTTGGTATGCTAGATACTTGTGGTACACTCGGTACACTCAGTACACTGGGTACGCTCAGTATGCTTGGTATGCTCGGTACACTTGGTTCATTTGGTACACTGGGTACCTCAGTACCTCAGCATATGCTCCATACCTCAGTATGTGCTCCATACCTTGGTACTTAGTCGTTTGGGCCTCATCGCTGAACTGCCAAGCTTAAATTTTAATACTTCGAAAGTATCTCTGCAATTGATACTAAAAGTAACGACTACAAAGTAGTAGTGAATAATCTCTCTCTTTCTCCAATGATGTCTAATCACAGCACCTCTCTGGATAGCTAACACCACAGCAATTTGATTTTAATTAGTGCAACTGACAGTTCACATATTTGACTGTCATTTCCTGATTTTATGAGTCATACCGGATGCGGTGCCTTTAGCTTTCACTGTATAGTGAAGTGCTGAAAAATCAGTAAACTATCAATTATTAACATGGCAAGTTGGATATTCAATCAACCCTGATAGCTCGAACCCCCGCTAACTCGAACTGAAAAGCTGAAAAAGCTGAAAAGCTGAAAAAGCTGTGTAATACTATATTCGTATCATTTTTCAAGCTTACGTACATGTACACTTCCGAGTTGAAGTGCATAAACATGTTTTATAAATTAATATATAATTTTTGCAACAGAAATATTGAATATTCTCTCTTTTTACCTCATGATATGCACCTCATACCATGAGGTACATACCTCACAAACGAACAGGAAATGTGCTCAAGAAAGCTTGAGTGGAAAGAAATGGGTTTTAAAGTCTGAAAAGTTATGATGTCTCCAAGATACATTTGGATGACGAGGAATAGAATGCACAAAACGAACTATTTGGAATGAATGCTTTATGGTCTGGGGAAAAAGGTAAGCTACCCTCCTTCTACCGTATTGCATTTTGAATTTTCTACAAATACTCAAAATTAAATGCGCTTTTAATATTTTGCAATTTACTAGGAAGCTGTTCAGAAAATGTCACATGACAAAGGATGTCAATGAAGCTTTCGCCAAGTTCACCTCTTGCTGGGGCTTAAATACCACAACTGTAGGCATTTTAGAGGCAGCGTGGCCAAGTGGTTAGAGTGCCGGATTTGAAATCTGTAGGTCCCGGGTTCAAATCCCGTTCTGACCACTAGCTGATGTTGTTCACGGTGGCCGCGAGTTCAACTTCTCGGCTGCGCTTGTGAATAGCTAACTGGTCTGCCTCTTGCCAGTTGGGATTCTTAACCTAGTTATGTTTATTTGAATATTTATTTATCATTGTTTATTTACATTGGTCCTGAAAAGCCCCAATGGGGAGTGGCCAATTACGTATACATTTTTTTTTTAAACTGTGATAAGCTATAGAGATTGAACACAACTGCCAAACAAATGCTAAATACAATATACGCAAAATAACAAATACCATAACAAATACAAAATATCAAACAACAAAGAAATGCCAAACAGATGATCCGTTACCTGAATACCACCTGAAATACACCAAGGTATGGAGCGAATGATTATCGAGGGTAATCCTATAATTCCCGAGCAGTTTGAAAATCAAAATAAAATACCAGTTTACCAGTTCAGTTGTCAAGTAATTCTCAGTACAGAAATGCAGATAAAAATGTGAATGTACGGAATTTTAGAGCTACCATTGTCTCCTATCCTCAGTTTAGAATGACACCTGAAAGAGAACCCTCCAGAATTTCTTACAAAATGGTTACCAGACTTTCTAATGGCAAGAAAAAAAATGTCGGTGAAATTATACATAAAGAAATTAATTTCACGAAATCCTCCAAGCTGAAAGCTATGTTGTGTGGATATTATCGTTGTCATTTATTTTCTTAGAGCGATATGCAAGTCAAAAATTCATGATTTTCTCAAAGAAGTATTTCACTAGACAAAGTTTAAGCTTGTGTATTTTTCACACAAGGACTCCAAAGCATAAAAACTTGCCTTTGTTTTGTATGATAGCTGAAGGTAATATTTTCAGAAAATTAGGGCTCCAAATGAAAAAGTATCATTTTTTGAGCAGAATCATATCATTGACTGGAGATGTGGAGTCAAATCCTGGTCCTGCAAATGAGTATTGCAAATCAGTACCTTTTATATCACCCACAAATTCTGTCTGTTTATAAGAATTCAGATTGTCTCAGTTAGGCAGAACTGCACTTGATGTTGGAGGAGGTGGTGATTGCTTTTTTAGGGCTGTATCGCATCAACTCAATGGAAATCCTAATAGTCATTTCTATGTGCACAGTGTTAGCATTCAGTATTTAGTGAATCACCCTGAACAATTTATAGAGTGTAAAACTGAGCATTCTTGGCAAGGTTATTTGGAAAGAATGTCATGTCAAGGAACATGGCCTGATGCTATCGTAATTCAAGCTGTTGCCAATAGGCCCTTTGCACGATCCGGTCACATGGTACAAAATCACACATGCTGGTGACCAAGTTCTGCAGTGGGACTTCCAAAACAAAGGCAGGTCCGGGTGGACTGGTACGAGTGGCATTGTTTTGGAAGTCCCACTGTGCAACTTGCCCACCAGCATGTGTGATTTTGTACGATGTGACCGGATTGTGCAAAGGGCCTGTTGTCTTAATTTATCAATTCATATTGCTGAATCAAATCCAACTTTTTCTCCAGTTACTGTTGTTGAACCAGTGAATGTTACAAATGCCCTAAATGTTTACATTGGACACCTAGATCAATTTCATTATGTTTCCACAGTAGAAAACAGAACAATGGAGATGAGAGACAACAGCAAACAAACAAAAAATGCAGAAAACAAACCAGTTGATGACAGTGAGAGAATACATAAAAGACAGAAGAGCTGATGATAACTTTAGAATGCAAGGCTGCAACATTAATAGCAAAACATCTAGGAACAAGAAACACCAGGCTGCTAAAAGAAGAAAGTTGAACCCAGAACATGGAAGAGAAATTGAGCAGCACTCCTTAATTCAGAAAACGAAAAGCAGAGAACCCACAACACATAAGGCAGATAACCAAACAGTCGGTAAGAAAAAGACAAAAGGCTGAGGCTCTGGCAAGTGTATCGCAACTAACATGTAGCAGTCATGAGTTGCAGCCACAAGAAAACAAATACGATGCAATCTCTATGGTAAATTTGTTTTACAAAAACATTGGAAGTGGCCCAGAATATGTGTGCACTCTTTGTGACCAATAATGTGGTTCAAGTGCTCTGTAGTGAAATGTGATCCAAACAAATATAGGGCATGTTCACTAGACATTGTTGAGTCCTTTCTTACTGGTTTTAAAAGTGTCAATGACAATGAATGGATCTGCATGACTTGCAATAAAAAAAGGCTAAAAAAAGTTTAAAAAAGCAATTGTCTAACTTGCAGTGGAAAAGGTCTGAAACAAGGCAGGTTACCCAGCTGTTCTAAAGCCAATAAGATGGGTTTTCCTTATAAACCTAATGTATTGAATTTCACATCACAAGAAGAGCGACTAATTTCACCTCGTATACCTTTTATGCAAATCCGTGAACTACCTAGGGGTGGTCAGTTGTCTATTCATGGAAACATTGTCAATGTGCCAAGTGATGTAAATTCAACTGTTCATTGTCTCCCAAGGCCAATAAGTGAATCACAGACCATTCCAATAAAACTTAAAAGGCGCCTTGGTTACAAGCATCACTATCAGTTTCAGAATGTCAGACCTAAGAAAGTATTAGATGCAGCCAAATATCTTGTAGACACTAGTGAATTATTTAAAACTGGAGGCATAAAAGTGCAAAATTCATGGGTAGATGGCATAACTTCACAATCAAGCACCCATGAAGAGTGGGGTGAGTTTGTTCAAAACCCTAACACATCCAGTGCTGATGTGCAAACTAATGAAATTGTCACAAATTGTCAAAACAGTATTTGCATTGCCGATGTTCATAATCCAGACAGAGGGAAAGACACTGAAGGATTACATTTCCTGTCAAAATGTTATATGTATTAGATGAAGACCTTATTTCTATAAACATGCTCAACCAATGGCTGCTTATTAACATGATGCACTTTTTAACTAAAACACCTTACAAATGGAACACATCTTAGTTCCAAAAGAGGCAAAGGACAGCACTTCGTAGAATAATTGCCACATACCATGAGGTAGCTCAAAGTAACCTTTGATTCCATTTTAACTATCGAAAACTTCCTTTGAGTTATAGATGTGAACTATTGTGTACTATATTCTTAAAGTAATGATGCTTCTGTTCAATTTTACTGTTTTTTTTCATTTTGAAACACCTGTTATTTCCAGAGATGTTCTCTTATTTGTTCAACACAAGAACTTTATAATTCTTCACTTTGAAAGATGTTGTAAGGAATGTTAATTTATCTTCTTTTGAAATTCATAATAATTTTTTCCATGCACTACACTGTACATATAAAATATGCTGTTGTTATATGCCCGGCAACCAGGCAAGGTCTAAAATAGACTAAATGTCTGGCAGTCTTTAATATTCACGGAATTCCCACAGAAAACCTCATGATTTTTTCAATGCACTACTCTGTACATATAAAATATGCTGTTGCTATGTGTCCTATGTGCCCGGCAACTGGGCAAGGTCTAAAATAGACTAAATGCCTGGCAGTCAAAAGTTTTCACAGAATTTCCACTAAAAGGTTTTTTCAAACTTATTCAGAGTATCAGATGTTTGTTAAGAAATGTCAAGCAATTCCAAAAATTATGTTGATTTTCTATGTGACGAAATATCCAAACTTGGGCATACCATACTGATCACTGTGTTCTCAACTCTTAAAAAGTTTTTAGCTCAGCCCGGTCAGTTAGAAATATTCACCGAATTCCCACAGAAAGCTTCATTCAAACCTATTGAGAGTATTTTTGACCCTCCATGGGAAAACAGGGATAAAGGTGATAGCACGCTCACAACACGCTTCCACTTTAAAACAAAAGAATTTGGCTTTAGCACGCTTAAAGCATGTTCAGGAGCACACTTCATTAGCAAGCTCTTTTGGTTGGTTGGACACACGAGGAACAAAAAAGCGTGCTCACACTAACAATGCAGTCAAACAAAGAAGCGTGTTAAACTTCAAAAACAAAAGATAGTGTGCGACAACACACTTTAGTGTGCGAAATAGCACCACTTGCTTAAGGAGTGCCATATTTTATGTAAAAAAACTATTTTACTAGTGTGCTGAAAGAGTTTTTGAAGAACAAAGAGAACATTGCCAAACATTGCGACTGCATGTCGATCGAAACAATATCACTTACCGTTATTTGAAACTTCACTGTGTTTGTATTTAAACGATTGTTCTTTGTTGTTGGGTTGCAGTTTCAACAAAAGGAGAAATTTCAGTTGTAATGTTTACGTGAATGTTGAACTCGGTG